CCATTGTTTATAACAAGTGAATGGCTAACTGGTAGAGCTTTTTTCTAAATTGATGACCAAAAAGACTTGCTCGGCTTCAGAAAACAATTTGGAAAGATGTTCAACACCGCAAACGCATTGATGATAACAACAATGTCATCACTTGCACAACAATATGTCAAAACAAAATAACAGGAAAATAGTTTGATTGTCTCAAATCTTGAAGTTTTAACTAATAAAATAAAAGCACAGATGAACCATCCAAGCTAAGGGGGGAGCTCAAATTTGAGAGATCACACTACTGCTGGTTGATTTCAGCTTTGGTCTTCTGCCAGAGCCTGTCTATGGCACTGTCCACATCTCCCTGCAAGTGCATACAAACAAGCACAAGCTTTTAAGTTTCAATTCTAAAAGAGTATAAGACCTCAAGTCACTATTGACATTTTTCTAATTAACATAAAAATGGAAAAACTTTGAAGTCAGCGTTTTGATATGGTTTGTAATTCACTAATGAGTTGCTGTTATCAGTAATGACAAATACTTTTTTCCCTTTAGTCTGGTTATGAACCCAATATAATACAGACAGATTTGTTCTTGTGTTATATACATGTAGAGGGGTCACCTTTGCCTATAGACAGACAGTTAAATCATGATTAATAATGTTTTAAATTCATTGCAAGTGAAGAATCAAATACTCGTGGTATGGTAGGCCTATATACGTGTTAAGAAAGCAAATATCTATGGTAGGGCTATATACGTGTAAAGAAAGCAAATTCCGTACAATATATATACAGTTACCGTATGGGTGGATTAGTAAATGCTTATTCTTTACTTTGTTACCATTTACCAAAAACATTTTTCTTGAATAATAATTTCTCAAAAACACATTGGTAGCAAATCAAATAAGATATATACATAAAAAATCAATTATCACAATGATGATTATGACCAAGGTTGAAACACTCTCCACATTACCATTTTCCAACTCTAAAACACGGCATAAACTAGTGTTTGTGCCTATTATGAAACCGACCAAAACCCACCACGGGAAATACTCCATAAGAAGAAAACTACAAGACAATAATACAAATATGTTTGTCACCCTAACAAGAACTCACCTGAGAACGCACAGATCCACACAAGGCATAGGTGGTCTGGGCTCCAACATACAGACCTTGCTCATTTAAATGCCCAATATTGATTTGAACAGAAGCATGATCCTTAGAAGTGATCAGCCTGTTCGTGGCGGAGCTGCATCATGAACAAACTTGGTCAAATCTTTGAGTTCAAATATTTAGTTCATATTTTTATTGTGTACTCATATACATTTATCCTTTGGAAATAGAAAATCTGATCTAGATCAGACTTCCCAGATATTATGTTATTAAAGAGGGTGAGTGTTGACCATTGAAATCTTATTTCTGAAAAATTTCTCAAGAACATCTAAAGTGCAAAATTCCGATAGAAGAAACAGCAAGTCATCTGCAGAAACAACAAACTTGAAATCCTATTTGCAAAACTTCCCCTTTCTGTTTTTTATTTTCAAAATTTACAACAAATTAAAAATCGCATTGCAATGAAAATTCTTCTCAATACCTTCTCTCCAAAATCAAACACAAACTTAAAATGGCCTTGCAATAAAAACATGGGCTCTTGATACACATGACAAAAAGTTTCACTTAAATTTTTTTTTGCAGAATGAAAATATTGGACAGAATTTCAATAAAACTTTTCAAAATTAAAACTATTTTTTGCTTTAGTTTATTTTTCGAGCAGAAACACTTGATAATCATTACAGTACCAATAAACCCAGAGCAGGAATTTAATGAAAAAACGCATAAATGGTATAAATGAATCCGAAAACTGACACCCACAGTGAAAAGAACAAATGCACTGAAAAGCACAATCTTGAAGATAAAGAGGTTTTGATTTAAGATCATACCACTTCCTTGGAATGTAGAGATCCATATTTTTTCCCTCCTCGTTCATCATCTTCGCAAAATTTTCCGGAAACGAATGCTCAAATCACTCGTCTTCAAGAAAACTGCAATGATACAAAATAAAATTACAATATAAAAAACATTTCAATAGCTTAAATCTATTTATATTTCTGCATTGAGAAGCCATGGCGAAGAGAAACTCAAAGTACCTGGTGGCGGATGAGGAAGAATTGGGTGCGGCTGGGAGGAAAGGCCAGAGCAGGGAACCCTATATAGTTTGGAGGATTGGGTTGGGCTGATACCTAGTTTTTGTGCCGGAGCCCTTTTATTAACCAGCCCAATTCAAAATCATACGTTCCGTCTCTCACTTTAATTCAAAGGATTGAAAATGTAGGCTTTGTTTGGTAACAGCTTTTTCGATTAGCGTTAGCGTTTTGGATAAAATTTTAATGATGCAGATTAATTCTAAAAACGCTAACGCTAAAGGCTACCGTCGGATAGCTTTTTCAAAACGCTAACGCTAATCTCTAACGCTAATGCCAAACGGGACCGAAATGTATCACAGGAAGAACGTTTTTATGTACTTAGTTTTTTACTATATCATTTTTATTTGTAAATTTTACATCCACAATCTTTAAATTGAATTGGAAAAAAAAACTCAGTCAAACCTCATAAACATGAACGGAAAGAATGTTTAGGGATGAAGGAAATATTTTTTTTTCAATTTATTTTATTTAAAAAGTACTATAGAAATAAGTACTCCGTATGACTTATATTTTAAAAAAGTATATCAAAAATTTTAAAAAGAGATGAAAATTAAATTATACTTTCTCCGCGCTTTTATCATTATATTAATATTTATACATAAATATATTTTATGAAAAATAAATATTTCAAAACATGTTTATAACAACTAATATTATATGTATATCAAAACACCCAATATTTTTTAGTAAATTAATGTCAAAGTTAATAAAATTTAACGAAAAAAATAATAAATCTCACGGAGGAAGTATTTTATTTTGAATAGTGGATACAGACTTCCACTAAGGACGGAGAAAGCATTAGAGCATGGCCAGTGGCGTGTCAAGGCCACTACCACGCATGCCACCTCATCATATTTCCTCCTTTTCCATGGCAAGGCATAGCAAGGCACCCTGCAAGCCGAGGCAAACGCGAGCCAATCTTTTCACTTTTTGTTTAATTTTTTTTGTAAAAGAAATAAGTTTTTTTTGTTTTTATTTTTTTATTTTTTTATTTTTTTATTTTTCGAGGCAAGCGCAGTGGATTAGAGGTAATGTTTTCCATTTTTATTTTTATTTTTTTCTTCTTTCCAATCTAACTCCTTAAAAATAACTTAACCCTTTTTTAGTTGTCTTTCTTTTTTCTTTACAATCTATTTTTTTTAAAACAATCTAACATTTTTTTGAATCTAAAAAATATACATTTTTTAAAATTACTCCGTAATGTTTTTATCCGAAGTTATATAATTTAGAAAATTTAAAAAAAAAATCTCTTTGTACAATGAAAATCTTTACAAGAAAAATGCAAATATTTATAATAAAAAAAGCACACATGGACTAATTTAAAATATGCAAAAATGTTAACATTTCCAAAATAAAATAGAATTATTTTTATTAAAAAAGGATAAGCAAAAAAATTTAATAATTAAAATACATTAAAAGGTGTAAAAATGATAAAAATAGTGAATTGCCACTGCAAGGCATGACACTTCACTCATTTACCACACGTTGACTGGACCAATTTTGATGGGCTAAAGTACTTTATGTCCCTGGCATTCCATTTCTTACTTGTCATTGCCCATGCTCTTAACCTTTAATTTTTTATTGGTGGCATGGCATAAATTTTTATTTATTTTTATTTTTAAGTTATAAAAACCGGTAATACATAAATTCTATTTAGGGCACGTTTGGTAAGTTTTAGAAATATGATAAGATATGAGTTATGAAATCAGATAAAAATGAAATGAGTTTTAAAATCTGAAACGAATTTGTTTAGAGAAATTTAAAATTATGATTTAATTAGTAAAAAGCGACGGTGACCGCAACTGGGGTGAATCAGGGTGACAATGGTAACTGGTAACGGAGAATGACCAATGGTTGAGAGAGACATCAAACCCCCATATTGATATCTCCCAAATTTGGGAGATATCGAAATCCTTCATTTGAAGGATTTATAATATCTGCAAATATCGAATTTGATATCTTTTTTGGCTTCACCAAAATACCCAAAAAGAATTCTAATACAAGGAGATATCAAAACTTATACTCGTATCTTATTTGCTCACCAAACACACTCTTAGCTTTTATAAAGGTTTGCCGTTCAGGCGGCAAGAATGTGCCCATATGACCCAAAGTGTTTTGCTTACGGATAAAGAAAGAACTTGTTTCGCAAATGATTCTCGATCAACTAGGGAGTAGTATAATTATTCCTTAAATAGTCCATTGTTAAAAATGTATATTAAATGACAGTTAAATAGAGAGTATTTTTGTATTTTATATCATCTAAATTATGAATAAATCCTTCAAATGGTCATTTCAAATTAATTGGGTGGTCGCTAGAGGAGCGAACCCATCCTGAGTAGGCTCCTGAACTCCATTCCGCGAAAAAAATTACTTAGAAATTATCAATTTGGAAAAATATTTAATTATAGAGGAACATTTCGAGAAGTCAAATATGTATCTATCCCCATCTTAGCCTTGGTCTTGTTTTCATATTATTTGGCCGTTTTAACTCTTGCATATCTCATGCATCTCATCATAGGCTACATTCATCTTAGAAACCGAGAAAACGATAGAAAAATATAATATGCTGCCTCCATTCAGATTTAGTTGTCCAAATTCTTGAAAAAAAAAACTCATTTTCATGAAATGGGTTGAAATATCAAATAATAAATCCTCTAAATAAGTTTGTCACTCAATCAGGCATTCATTTCAACAATGCTCATATGTACCTTAACTCTAGGATATCTTAGACAATGCATGATTTCTTTATTGAATATGAGAAGTGAACAACTAATTCCAAACAGACGAATAAAAAAGAAAGCGGACAACTGATTCCGGATGGATGAAGTATTTAATAAAAATGGATGCATCAAATAAATGAATGATGATAAAGTTGTGTATATGCAGTATCAGATGCTTTGCATGACTACCAATGTCAATATAGACAGCTCTAAATACAAATAAGAAGAAAGAAAAAGACACTTGGAAGAGGAGTCTCATACTGGGAAATGTTACGGACCCGTTTGCGGGCATTCATTCTATATCGGAGATGAATGCAGGCTGCAGAACAAGGGAAGAGTATTACTTTTAACAGTTTCCCATCTTCTTTTGAGCAGGTTTGTGCTTCCTAGTTATTTTACGGCACTAGAGAGTAGAAAAAAGATTGATTGTTCATCTCATTGTTCGTTATGAAGGCTGCAGCGGGAAGGACTGCGATGTAAAATAATGAGTTCAGAAGAAGATGGAGAACAGAAAGCAACAACACTCGCACCCAGAAGATCTGATCACATATATCTGATCACATATATGAGCGTTGAGAGGCTGATTGATATAGAAGATTTTCTTCCTTGTGTGACTTAAGAGAGAGCACACTACAAATTCATACTAACTTTGCAAAATTTTATAAAGAATTTGGGTGTCGGGATGCCCCCAAGTATCCACCAAACGGGGGCGTTCAATTGACTCCAAAGTCAAAATTAACTTGGGGGTGCAATTGAAGGAGGTGGGGGGGTGTTTGGGTCGGGTCGGGGCGGGGGGGTTTACCGGGGGGGTTGGGGGTAGGAACCGTCAATTTTACGAACAGGGCACCGGAGCACCCTCGGGTCATCCCATGACATTGGTTCTGAATGTCATGGGAACCAAGGGGCACCATAATAATCAGGTCTAGGTAATGAAAATTCACAAAGATCAAGAAAAATACCTTCAAATTTCTGCAGGTAATTATTTCTGTGATTGTCAAAAATGTCTTTGACTTATAGAGTGCATTGCTCCTTGTCATTAGTTTGCATTTGTCTTTAACAAACCCAGAAGAGAGGCACCATTCACACCCAAAGATTGGTTGTCCTTTCATTGATAGGGTTAGAGTTGAATGTCTGAGATCTCAGACGCAGTTCTACATTGCCACCACAGGAATAAAAAATTTCTGATGAATGCTCTGAATGAGATTCAAGAAGTACAATGAACCCGGGCGTGGCTATTTTATATCAGGGCTGCAGAAATTAGAGTATGAATTAATGAATATGGGCAGAGTATTCTAAATCATATGGGATTTGGGGTTCGGGACTACTCTATTTTCAGCTTGAAGAATGGGACACTCTTCAAATTAGTTAGGAGCAAATGAGTATTTCCATTTTAACATGCTACAGTAAAATATACTCACTCGGTTTCCATTTTAACAAGAATCAAGGTGTGGTGGTAGGTTTCTAAAGATAATTAACGTACTACTAGAAAAGGAAAGAGGATGAGTAATATGAAACAAACCAAAAAAAATTGGGACCAATATTGTAAAACAGAATGAGTATATATTAAAACGAAAGTAAGCACAAGTATACTATGTAAGCAGGTTGGAAAAAAAAGTGGTGTTTATTTTAAATTTTATAAACTCCCGTTCAATTTTAGTCGTCCACTCCTAAAAAATCTCATTTTTACAAAATGATTTTGAAATGTCAAATATGCCTTTCAGATGAGATTGTCACTTTTTATGTCAACAATGTTCATACATTATCTCTAAGATATTTCAGACAATTCATTAGAATTTCTTTATTGAATATGGAGAGCAGAGAACTAATTTCGGATAAATTAAAACATTAAAGAGGACAACTAAATCCGGAGAGAGGAAGTAATTAAACACAATATTAATTTTAAACAGATTTTTAATTTATTAATATTTTAGTAGACAACTAATGATCAAGACGAATCATTTTCTTGTTGAACGGTTCTTGAGAAAACTAGTTTCCAGTGTTGAATAGTTGTATGCCCCCCAAGACCCTACTCTTGTGGGATTTCAACTGGGTTGTTGTTTGTTCAATGGTTGTATTTTGTCTCAAATGATACGGATCACAAAGATATGAAAAACCATTATATTTGATAAAGAAAATGTGTAATGTAGTTTAACAGCACATACTGTACATGAAAAAGTATTTCAAATTCTATACATTATTATAGTGTAATACTCTATATGTTGTTTATCAGAATTTCTTATCCTTAATACAGTAAAAATTTAAAAACACAGTTTTGAATTCTTTGTTTGTTTATTACAGGAAGATTAAAACATTTATAATTATTTTTTATATTATATATATTCCATACGACGCATGCAAAAATTACTAGTTACAACTACTGTTGCACGAATTCTTCAAACCGCTTCCCGTTCCCAAAATGTCCATGTTTGGGTACTTGCTGGGTGACATCCCAACACCCAATCCTTTTTAAGTTTTTAGAAAAGTTTGTGTTTTCCCGTTCCTGACCACATCTCCATATCCGTGCAACTTAGGTTACAAGCAAAAGCAATAAACTTTGTAAACCAATATCTTTGGATATAAAATGGTCTTACTCGTGGGGTTCTTGCGGGCACAAGTGCAACTTGTAGCTTGACCGAGAAATGGACACTTGTAGTTATAGCTGTAAGCCTGTAATCAATAAAATCCTGTTCAAAATAGAACTAGTGAGGACTTGGCATCTGAACTAATAAGTGATCTTTGATTTTCAAACATATTATCTTTCTGCATCCTTGGTTTTTCACAAATTCTTAATTTTGGTTTCTAGCAAGCTTTATCCAGTGTATTCACCCGGTAAATCAGCAAAGCCTGCAGCCATTGCCGCATGTAAATGGACAATATTTGGTCGCTAGCCTCAAAAAAGATTTTCTTGAGGGAGATTTTCCACTAGAGAGAAGTTCAGACAACTGCTTGCCATTAGACAATTTTTTGTATATAGTCTAATCATAGATTCCAGCCTATGATCAGAGAGGTAGCAAAAAAAGTACCTTGCCAGGCATTCTACAACGCTGCTGCGAGTGGACAAGACTTCATAGATCAACCCGGTCCCACACTAAGTCACCATTACACTTAGTGTTCAGATAATCTTGACGCACAACTTTTGACTCCTTTCGATTGATAAAATGGCACAGGATTTGACTAGCCATCCATAAGACAGGCAATTTCCAGGGAAGTTTGTTCAGTTCTTGAAGTCAGTAACTCTAGAATGTTATAGATGCATTCACTTTCTGGGTGTGTTTTGTCCCCAGCAACAAATGCATGCATCTCAGCCTTGAGTTTCAAACAAGACCACCCGGGCTCTTTGATAACTCCTTTTGACCTCATCAGTTTCCTCAGTTCTGCTGCTTCCCTCCACTTCCCCTTAGAAGAATATATGTTAGCCAGGGTGATATGAGCCCCGGCAGAGTCCGGATCCAGTTCGAGAATCTGTTTTGAAGCACGTCTTCCACGTTCAACATCACCATGTACTCTGCAAGCCCTAAGAAGAGTTGACCAAACAACATCATCCTTTTTAAATGGCATGTTATTGATCATGTTCTCTGCGTCACATAATCGTCCAGCTCGGCAAAGAAGATCAATCATGCACCCGTAGTGTTCTTTCGAAGGACTTAACTTGAAGTCCCTAGTCATTGCATTAAAGTAATGAAAACCTAGATCAACCAACCCAGCATGGCTACAAGCGGTGAGAACTCCAACAAAGGTTACTGAATCCGGTTTCAAACCAGCCTCAGATGTTTTGTCAAATAAATCAATAGCTTCTCTGCTTTTCCCATGTTCAGCAAATCCAGTGATCATAGCCGTCCATGAGACTATATCATTGCAACGCGCCATACGGAAAATCTTTGAGGCTTCTATGATGCTTCCACATTTTGAGTACATAGTTACCAAAGCACTATGTATCAATGCAGTGTGATCCAAACCAATAATAAGGACATGAGCATGTAGTTGCTTCCCTTGATAGAGACATGTCATATTTCCGCTAACACTCAATACACTAGCAAGGGCAAACTCTGTAGGCCTTGTTCCATCCCTTCTCATACAGGAGAGAACTTTGAAAGCATCCTCACCACGTCCAGCTTGAGCATATCCTGCAATAATAGTGCTCCAAGAAACAATATCTCTCCTGTTCATTGTATTAAACACCGTGGAAGCTGAATCTAACAACCCACATTTTGAATACATTGTCATGACCGAATTTACCACAGATGGATAAGCTACAAAACCTGTATGTAATACAATGGAATGCAGTTGTTTGCCCCAATCAAGTCTTGCAAGGTTAGCACAAGCAGCAATGATTGCTGCATAGGTGTACTCATTAGGACGCGTGTTGCAGTCCCTCATTCGCAAGAATGCTTGGATTGCCAGTTTGTCTTGACCGGACTGGACATGTGTTGTGATTATAGTCGTCCAAGAGACTACATCTTTCAAACTCATTTTTTCAAACAAGCACATCCCATGATACGTCATCCCACATTTATTGTACATTGTAGAGAGACTATTAGCCACATAAGATCCTGTGCCGTAGCCTTCCTTCACAATCCGAGCATGAATTTCCCTTCCATAATTCAGATACTCCATATCAGCACAGGCTTTTAATGCAATGGCATAAGCATATGAATCATATTTTATTCCATCTTCCAACATTTCAGAGAAATACATCAATGCCTCGTTGTTGTAGCCCATATGAACAAGTCCAGTCACTACAGCAGTCCAAGAAACTATGTTCTTGTTAGGCATCTCATCAAAATGTCTGCAACCTTCCCAAACTTTTCCCAATTTCATATACATATTAAGAAGTGAGCTTCCCACAAAAACAGAATTCACAAGACCACTTTTTACAGCATATCCGTGAACAAGTTCTCCATACTTAACATCTGCGCTGATCCCGCATGCCTTTAGTACAAGACTGAGTATGAATGGGTCCATATGAATATTCTGATAGGCCCACATATCATGAAACAAAGATAATGCTTCAAGCGAATAAGAAGCATTGACATAACCAGCAATCATGTTGGTCCATGAGACTTCATCTCTATGTGGCATTCTATCAAACATCTCACGAGCATTCCAAAGATGTCCTTTATTGATCAGATCCTTCAACTGAGAGTTAATAACCATAGTACTCAAGCCATGTGTTCCTTGTGTTAGCTGATCTTTGTCATTCCATGTAGCCAATATATCTCTTGATTCAGCATATGCAACATTTGATGTTGCATAAAATCTCCTGAAAGAACCACAACATTTGATGCCCGCTTTTCACATTAATACATTATTGCTTTAGAGAAACAAGATTATAAACTAATCTAGCCCTTCAATGAAGGTGGATTAGTTCACCTGAGCTAAAATACAAAACTAAAAGCTATTACAACGATTGAAACATAGTTTAAAATCATCCCATCAACAGAAATCTCAAACACATAGTGACAAATAAACTGCAAAGAAGTGTATACAGTATACTAATCATTTCACACAAAAGAAGATAGCAAAACCAAAGGCAGCATAGAGTGATATAATCAGAGAAAATCATATGAATATTAGGGTATTAAAAATGTTGAGAATTGGGGGGGGGGGGGGGTTTNNGGGGTTTGCAAGCTCAAAATGAATTACAAACATACCTCGTACAATGAATACACATGGTCACCACTGTCTTGACCAGTGGGCCTAGATTATTGTGAGCCATATATCTCTGATTTCAGTATAACAGCCCGATCAGATCCAGAAGCCATAGACTAATCCTATAAATGACATTCGTCACCTTGGCCACAAATTGGGGATTCCACTACATAGAATTCAAAATCATCTCTCTTCACATTTCTTCATAAACACACCAGAAACATGTAATACGAGAACAATAAAATAGGTTGAAATCACATAATGTACAACTGCCAAAAACATTTAGGAGTAAAGTTTTATAACATTTTATATATTCATTTCTAGAGACCTAAATACAAGAGTGAAATCTTCATGGTACTCGTATGGTATTAGACCTTCTGTTTGGTAGAATAATACTTTTCAGTATTTACATCATCACATGGTACCCTCGTATTTGGGTTAATTGTACACAATGCTTCCAAATTTACGAAAATATTTCAAAATTTTGAACAAACTCTTAACTCTTATTCCCCATTTTTTTCCTTCTAAAGCCATATTCCCTAATAAGTGTTATCAATATTGAAATTCAAAAAAAAACATTTTAGGAATTGAGATTAAAAAAGCACACAAATAGCATTTTTAATATTCATTCTATTGTTCTCGAATATCTGAAAATTTTTAAGAATTTTATTTTTATATGAGTGCAAATCTTAGGGAAATGGAAGAAATATGTCCCGGTATGTATTCCTGGATATTTTATACCTGATAAGTCTATGGTCTTTATGGTACTATATAGTTATTGTTGCTAAATAAATGCACCGAGAAAGCACAACTAGAACACCAGGCAATGGAACATTAAAGAACAAAAATATTTAGCATGTTATGAACTTTCATGTCAGATATATGTGTCAATTGTTATATTTTCAAATAGTACGGTAATGAAATATTATGCACTTCAATTAATTAACATGCTCTTATGCCATCATTTTTAACCGGAATTGATTTAAAAAAAATTACTGCATAACTCAAAGCAATCATAACCTTTTAATTGGTCTTACAGTCAAAACAAGTTGGTCTCCCCCTTTTCGAGGAGTGGTGTTACTTCTGTGTATAGTCCTAAAGTGAAAACAGAATTTGCATGATATATATCCATGAGTGCACCTGGTCTATCAATTCGAATAATTTTAAAAATAGTTAAAAGATGCCATTTTGAGTGTTCAAGATCTATTCGCATACAAGAAAAGATGAGCAAGTGAGAGATGGACATCATCGCATAAGGGGTTTTTAATGGATAAAAAATCCAAAACTAAGGTTACAAATCTACTTGAATTGTAAAGCTTGATAACCATTGGATATATGGAAAAATATTATAGGAATTATGTGTGAATGAATGAAAATTAGTGCATCTGGACTGATTTGGAAAAGGGGATCTCCCTCACAAGCCACGTAGAAAACCGCTAAAATACAGAACTAGACCCTAGAATCCTTGAAACATAACAAGTTTGTTGGCAAATAAATTCCAAACGAAAGCCAACTTCTGAAACTACACAAAGCACAAAAGATTACTTTTTTCTATATCAAATCAGCCCAGAAAATCATGGAACAACAACAACAAACAGAGTGGGGTCAAGATGTATGCAACTTTATTATCCTTTAAAAACAGAGAGGATATTTCCAATAGAGCCTTGATGCATTGGTGCATTTACTTCCTAAAACTTCATAGAAAGTAGGAAGCTAAGGGAAGTTTATTGTACCATTTTGATCTAGTCCATTATTAAGCCGAAGCTAAAAGTTTGTGAAAATGACTCTTTTAGCTCTGATGGAGCAAAAGATTTACTACTCCATATTTTTTTGGCTTTGGGTATGATGGAATAAAGCAAAATGGCTCTTTAAACTGTATGAACTTCTTTTCATAGTTAAGTAGCATTTATAGTGAAGTAACTATTAGTCAATGCAACTCTCAACGCTCATCATGGGTCATCCGAAAACATGCCACTCTATGTTCTAAACATAGGGGTCCGACCCCCCTTACCCCGCAATGGGCGGAGCCTTTGAGACATTGGGGTAATGTTGTTTTGGACAATGAAAAAAAACAAAAGAATATATATTAATCAAGCAATAAATATGAGAAGAAGAATGAAACATACGACTTAGCTAAATGAAAAAATAGAGTAAATAATTGCAACTCCTGCAACAAAACCTGCAGATTAATCAACAAAGGGAGGGCAACAAAGGGCAGCAAAGGGAGTACTTTACTAGCAGCTCCAACACACCATATTTACCATCCTTGAGAGGGCAGCAAATATTACAAAGCTAGATTGTTTAGAATCCATGGAATATCTGAAATTCATGGATTGAGTTGGATAGATTTTATGTATTTTATCAACAAGATATTAAAAGATTTTGTCATAGTTCCATGGAGATGGAGGTCTGCAACTGAATTGGCAGAGTATAACCGCAGAGTATAGCAACAATGGTACCAATTTTGTGATTCCCAACCACAAAATTCATTTTTTTTGGATTCATCCCCATCCCCAAAATGAAGTTTGGACCTGGAATAAATTAGACAAAAATGTTCGATGTTTTTCACACAATTTTAGCATATATGCATAAAAATTTCTTCAGCTCAATCAATAATAATAACAGTAAGCTGCAAATCTTAAAAATCCAGGGGAGTTGAACGGCGATTGAAGGTTCAGACCGAGTTGAGCGGCAATTGAAGAATGAAGAATGAAACTGAACTTGGAAAGTGTACCCGTGTAGATGAAGGTCTGGGGCTGCGCTCTCTGCCGTTGGAATAGCGGAGGTCTGGCGTCGGAGATGGTGGTCGGCCGTCGGCTGAGGCGCTCGTTAAAATCTTTGGTTTGGTAGAACATTTTCATTTAACTTGAAAGTCTTATTACATGTTTGGAAAAATGGATTTAGATTTCAAATCTGGATTTGACTCAAATTCCATGTTTGGGAAATTCAAAAATTTTGAATTTGGATTTGAGTCAAATTCATCTCATTCATAAGAAAGCTTAATTTGAAATCCATGCACCTCCCCTTGTCATTTGAAATTCAAGATTTCAAATCTTGGAATTGAAATGCATGAATTGAAATGAAATGCTAGTTGCCAAATATTACCTTAGGTTATTTGTACACCAAAAATTTTACAATATTTTGTTTTCCAAAGACATGCACCGATATTTTCCTCTAATATGATGCTAGTGTGATGGTTTACATTGACAATAAATGTCAGTACAATTTTTTTAAGTGAACTAACATTTTGTGTCAATGCAAACCATTAAAATGTCGGTGCATTTCTTTAAGGTACTCTTTTTGGTGTATCCCTAGCATAATTGAATTTCTTATACATCCAAATGGAAAGCAAACCTATAACAAGTTCTATGGCTAAGTCTCTTTTGAATATTTTGAATAACAAAATTTTAAATGACATTTCTCTGTGCCGCTATTTAATGACTTATTGCTTATAAGCAGTTTTTCTTATAAGTTGTTTATAAGTTAAAGTTCTTTCATATAGATAAATGAATTAAATGATATATAAGTCATTTAGAAATGTTCATAATAGGTGAATATATAATTTCGTATATTTTCTGGTCAAAACAAAGAAACGAAAAAATGGCTTAAAATAACTAAAAAAGATCTACTTATTTTTCTGACTTATAATCAGCTTACAAGTGGACTTATAAACACAGAGACACACGTTATCTGCTAACTTATTAGTTAAAAATAGCTTATAAGTAGTTCTGATCAGTTTATATGCATAAAAATAGAAGACTAAATATGAAAAAACTTCTGTTATAAAAGATTAATTATAGAATTTACTCATTATTTTTTATTGGAATCATCCCCGTAAAATACATTTATTTGTAAATGATCATCTTGCTCACCTTTTTTAAATTTGGAGCTAGTTTTGAATAGATTTTTGGTCCCTGTAGAAATAGAGATTTTGTTTTTTATCTCTATGAATTTTTTAAATTCGAAGTGATTTTACTTTTATCCATGTAAATTATGGCACGTTAACACTATATTGGTGGGATAACCATTTGCAAAAAAAATACCATAGTACATAACAATAATAAGTAAAGAAATAAGGAAAAATTTGACCAACAAATAAAGAATCAAAACTGATGGTGTAAATTACTTGACCGGTCAAACTATACTAGACCGGGTCTAGAATAGTTTGCTTGATTTGGCAAAGTAAGGAAGGTAAAAACACGCAGATTGACCGGTAGGACTTTAGGTGGAACACCTGTAGCCCGATTTATATTATAACGGAGAATGCACGAGTGCTTTTACAAGGGAATTTAGAGAGAATGAATTCAGATCCCTACTTCTGAGAGTTACAGCCGTATTTATACTAGGTTTGGGGGGACAGGCCCACGTGCGCCCACGTGGAGGCACGTGTCTCGGATGTTGAGAGGTGATGGGCCTCGTCTCTTAGCTACCTTGTCGCCTTGTGAGGGGGATTATTCCCTTTGTCAGGTAGTGCCTTGGATGGATTCTTCAGCATCTCCAGTTGTCCTCTACTGACACGGGTCGCTACACGCCAAGCCCTCGTAGATTCTCCTCTGCCGACACTTTCCAACCCTAGAAACTACACCGGGTAATTTCTGAGGGATGAGTTTATCGTACTTAGGGAATGAATGGAGTGATAAGTAGTTTGACCGGTATACTTTTTCCCGAAGTACACCGGTCAAATTCGGACCGATCAAATACCCACTTGCTGACGATTAAAGTCTCCCTTTCCAGAATTTTCAAGATTGACCGGTCAACTATTTGGTCTTCTCCTTTGACCGGTCATGGGTGGAATACACCCACCAACAAGGATGAATGGAACCATGTAATAGTTTGACCGGTATACTTTTTTAAAGTATACCGGTCATCTTTTGACCGATTTGAGTGTCCTCTAGCGGATGATTAAAGTCCTTCTCCTTAACTTTCAAGATTGACCGGTCAACTATCTGGTCTCTTCCTTTGACCGGTCATGGGTGGAATACACCCATCAAAAACAATAATTTTGGAACAAAGTCTTGATTTTTGAAGATAGAGATTATTTATTTTAGCTCAATTCTGTAGAGTGAAAGCCAAAATCAAAACGAGACGATAATAGTTCATTGGATTGTTCCTTTTGGATTTAAATTGAGAAAAATCGCGAGTTTAAAACCTAATGAAAATACTAAAATACAAGTTTTAATTCTTTCGAGACCAAAACAGTAATTGACACTGTCATTTTTACATTGTTACACTCACCACATTATCACATTACAACTGTCACGCTATATATCATTGTCACACTGTCATCCGTGCGGTCGCGGATCACCGACGCTTGAGTGATCGATCACATTGCTATTTAACACTTTCGTCACCTTTCTATCACACTACCAACACATACTCTTACATCACATTTCCATTATACTCATATTTTGGTCTTAGAAAACATAGGACTCCTATTTTGATATTTTAATACTTTTACTCATATTGAGAGAGATTTCTTATTTAATTACAAGGTGTTGAATAATGTTAAACGAACATGAAATGTCTTATCCATTGCCCACTCTTCTTACCCACAAATTCTTACATCTTTGTACTATCTCCGTCTCAAAAAATGATTTCTAATTTCTTTTTTGAGACATCCCCAAAAGAGTTACCTTGTCTTTTATGAAAATTGTCGAATGGTTCTCAATCTTTCTTTTTTTTCTGCATGATTTTCAATCCTACATTTCTACTTTGTTTAAATTTTGTGTCAAGTGAAACTATAAGCTTTTTTGCAAGAAGGAAGGAGTGTTAAGTCATGTTCTCTTCAACTTATTCTTATTACTTATTCTTTTTCATTAGAATCAAATCAGATCATAAATAATTTTAAATATAATTACATTCATTTCAGATCTGATCAGACTAAATGAATGTGATCAAAACTTAAGCAATGTTTTCCTTAATTTATTTATTTTACCTACTCCGTATCATGTATTTTTATTAGAGTCACATTAGAATAGAAATAACTTTAAATATAATTAGATTGAAATCATATATCATACATCATACAAAATCAGAAATCAAAGTGATCGTGTCTTTGGTTTCTTTTCACCATAGGCGGGCCAAGCTACAGATTTCCCGCGCTAGTAGTCCTCTGGCTCTACCTTTCTCTCACGGCACCAAACTGCTACCTTGCACAGGCAACAAAGTGGGAACCAACTCGCAAATGGAATTTAAGCTCAACGGAAATGAACTGAAAACCTTTGGCAGGTCCATGACATGCCTCGCGCGCATAGGCAACGAACTCGTCATCCAAGCATCCGATTCACTGGTTTTTCCATCTTTTCCATTCCTCGTCGTTTTATTTGTTTTTACATACTTTTCAGTGCTAACTATTCATTATGAGCTCATACAATTATCTGAATTTTCTAGAGAAATTTGAATTTCAACTGTTCTGGAAATTTGAATTTGTTTGATTTTTTCTAATTAGGGTTTATAGTGATCTGAGTAAATAAATTCTCGTAGAGCACAGTGAATAGCTTAGGCCAAGCTTAAGTTCACAAATTAATAATTGTTTGTTGGAGACTGTTTAGTACACTGCAAATTGTACCCTCTACATCCGGAGCCCGGAGGTATATACTTTTATGTACATCTAATGTGCGCGGAGTATTACATAACTCGTAAATGTGCATACGCTAATTTTATAATGTGAATGTTCTGGGAATAAAAGAAATAAACGTATGCTTTTTTATGATTTCATTTTCAGGGTTTCGTTTTTATTCTTTAATTGATTGGAATTGGTATTAGCATCGAAATGAAAAATTAATTTTGAAATTCTAAAATTATGCAATTATTAAATGTGCATACATCAATTTCATGATGTGCTAATGTACATGTTCTAGGTATATGCAAAGAAGTAAATGAGCAAAATGAGTATTATTTAATTTGTAAATGAGTATACTCCGGATGTACAATAAACACCATCTAGATGTATAATATAGGGCTTAGGAACTTATAGTACTTCGTATAGTTGTCGCTCAACGTTTTCATTCGCAATACTGGAGCATCACGGTTGTGCTATAGCCATATGTCAGAATGTATGAAAAGGTGTTCTCTAAGCAGCGATTTTGTTTTTGACAGTAACTCTCAGCAGCCATTTATTCCTATTTATATGCATGTATTTTTTATCTGGCAAAATTTCCGAACTTGAAGTTGGGAATATAAGTACTCCCTCCACCCCAAAAGAAACCTTGATATTTGATTTCACAGAGTTTAAAAAGAAAGTTTGCGATCCATAAATTTCACTCCTAAATAGAAAATTGAGAAATGTAAAACCAAAAAAGGAGAGTGATTTTTATTTTGGGACGGAAGGAATATATGTTACCAACGATATTACTGCTTTGGATTTGAAAATTATTTATTTGAATAACATTCCATTTGGCAGCTTACTCTTCTCACACTAAATGCGTCAAGGACTGCTCATCTGTCCATCACATTTAAACCCGATTTTTTCAATGTATACACAGTTCCAGCTGACCAGGTGAAATGTAGTGTTCTGTTGAAGGTATAAGCGTTTACAGGCATGTTTCATTTTTTACAGGCATGTTTGATGTTTTATAGTTATTATACAAATAGGATTGCTGTGATAAGATTTACTTAAAATGGTGCGTACAGGCGGTTTGTTCCGTGTTAAGAACACCATTTGCTAGTATCGACCATTTGAGTGTGTCATTACCTCATCCTGATGCATCTAAGGTGCTGTGGACTCTGGACTGTTACAATGGTAGTGGTCTTTTTTACTTGAAGCTTTTGTATATATATTCTTTCCTGCATTTTTGCTGCTTTTCCTATGCTTAAGAGATGAA